TGTTTTTCTCATGAGCTACAATTTAGATCATAAATTTATGTTAGTTCTGTGACCCAGAGCCTGGCTATGAACTTTTCTAGGAATCTGGGCTTTTTTCTTGGTTTTCAGGTGAAGTAAATTTTAGCTATTTATTTGTGTCATAACTTTGGTTTTGATATCAATGTTGGAAACTATCACACTCTTTTGTATCCTTAAATCAGAAAGTTTCCTGTTAAAAAACTTCGTCATGTGGAAAATGACAAATGGAAGTCAATGGGATTTTTAACAATAACGATAATACATGGACGAAATCCTTATCTTGTCCTTTGTGTTGGAATTTTACCCTCTTTTTAACATGTTAATGAGCAATATTTTTGTGCCAGTTATGTTTCCACAAGTTTTCTGCAATTGGCAGTTAATGTCAGTACTACATTGAAATTGCAGTGTCTCTAAATGCTTAACGTATTTCACATTTTATCATTAATGAATAGAGGTTCTATACTGTTTTTGACACAAATAATCCATAATTATACTTTAAAGCATTTCAGGTTTCTGTAGAATACCACTTTTTCTTGTCTGCATTATTGAATTACAGCAGCCCTCAGGATTCTTAATGAGTATATTATGAATCCATGTGCCAATTAAAAATGAAATGTCAAGATAGACAAGGAAAATATCCTAGATCTTGCCTCTCTGAACTTCTGTAAAGCAGCTGGTGTACTGCCTCAGAGGAATTGGTCTCTTATGAGAGGAAGCTAAAAGAACTTGGCTCATTTAGCCTAGCAAAATGAAGGTTAATAGGGGTATGATTGCTCTCTTTAACTGTAGTATGAAAATAAATGCAGACAAAGAAAAGAACTATGTAGGCTCCTGTTTCTAAATGGTTGCAAGTTGGCCATGAACTAATTTACACTGAAAAGTAGAAGATTCTTGTTGTGGTTCCCCAGCCAGGAAGAAAATGCTAAGGTGAGAAAACTTGTGGGTTGAGATAAAGACAGTTTAACAGCTAAAACAAAAATAGAGCAAAAGAGAGAATTCATTCACCGTGTTCCTTGGCCAGTCTGGTGTGCAGCCATCCCAAAGGAAGGCAGGACTCCATAGTGTGTAATGGTGATTTGGGGAGACAAATGGCATCATTCCAAATATCCCTTCTTCCTCCTCCTTCAACCCACTTTATATCCTGAGCATGATGTCATATGGAATGGCCTATCCCTTTGTCAGTTGGGGCCAGCTGTCCCAGCTGTGTCCCCTCTCAGCTTCTTGTGAACCCTCAGCCTCCTGGCAGGGCAGTACAAGAAACAGAAAAGGCCTTGACATTGTACAAGCAAACTGTTTTCAGCACAAATGCAAACATTGGGTAGCCTCATACTGCCTTTTCTGAAGAAAACAACCCTGGCCAAAGCCAGCACAATTGTAAATGCACAGAGAATAGAATTCTGGAATGAACAATAGGGGAAAACAGATTTGTTTTAGGGTCAGCTTGTTAAACTCATAGATTGTTTGAGATGGTTGGTGCATTAATGGACAGATGGACAGACCTGGATACATCACACCCCAGTGTTTGTCCTTTGTATATGTTAGGAGGTGACTGCTGACCAGTTTCTGCCCAATTTAATGTTTATCAGCTCAGTGTTAATCTACTAAACTCTTTCTGAGCTACTGTAGTCAAATCTGTAATTGCATGCTGAAAAGGAAGTTAAGCATTTTATTTGGAGCTTTTTGACTCTTTCCCTCAATTTATTGTTTTTTCTGTACCCCGTTTATTTTTTTCATGCTTAATGGTGATCTAAGGGAAGTTCTAAGAACACTTACCCATGAAAATCTCAAAATATTATGTACTTGTTTTTGATAGATGATTCAAAGGTTTCATTTAGTCTTTTGTTCCTGGAAAAACTGATTAAAAAAAAAAAAGTTTAAATTGTTTAAACCTTTTTTTTTTTTTAAGAAAAGGTTTATGACAGGGATAGGTCCTTTTGATATTTTCATATAACTAGCAAAACATATTATTTGTGCACTCACTGCTTTTATATCTTTGATTGATACAGGCTATATGAGCATGTGTGTTATTATTGATACTGAATGAATATGGCCCTCAGTGACTCAGACACTCCTGTTGTTGGAGAGTGAATTTACCTTCAGTTTTTTTGAGTTATAAAGTGCATTTCAGAACCTGAGTCAAATCTCATGTGTGCTAAAATAATTAGCACACAAATATAATTTCCCTTGTTTATCCATACATTTTTTTATCCATGGCCTTGAAGATGCAGTATCATAAAGAACAACATTGCAGTGTCATTGATTACTGTGTATTGTTGCAGTATACTGGAATCCTGGCTTTGTATCCCTGTTACTCCAGGTGCTGGTTTATGTGAGTGTGGTGATAGTGCATATACATTGTGCTAGGCAGTGAGCATTCATACAGAGCACAAAGAACTACTAAGAAGGCCAAAGGCAACAATTGGATTAAATAGGTGGCAAAATTACAGTTGAAAAATAAGATTTGTGTGTCACCATAGTAGAAAGCATAGTAGAGACTATAGCAAGCAAATGAGCACTGTAGTTTTCACAGTTTCTGTAGACACTACAACAAACAAGTTTTAAGGAGGGTTCTGAAGCAAGATAATAAACTCCATTAAGGCCGAAACTCAAAAGCCTGTTTAAATGATAGGATTATTTCTAGTGATGTCAAGAGGTGTTAGATCAAATCTTCCCACATTGTATCTGCCAAGGTAACTTTGTAATCGAAATTGCCATAGGATTCTACAGAATCAAACATACTGAATTATACACAAGTATTTTGGGCATTTTAACAGGATTAATTCTGTGTTACCTTTTGAATAATTCTGCTAATTGACACAACACAATTTCTCCTTTTTTTTTTCATAGTTAGCTTGCCCTGGTTTTCAGATATGCCAATAATTGTAATTACCAGTGGAATAGAAATAAAAAGTGCTTTTATTCATGTTTATGATTAAGTAAACGCTATAGCCTACTATATTAAAAAGCCACCAGGATTTTCATTGAAAAATACATGATTATTTCCTGACCATATTTTGATGAGCTCAATCCAAGGGTGGGGTTTTAAGTATATTATATCTGCACACTAAAGAAGTGACTAACTAAACACACAGTCTTGTAATGTGAATAATTTTTTGTGCATTTGTTTTGACTTCCATGTATGTCTCTAAGATGAGTACCTGCTAACAGTCCATCACATATACAAAACTGTAATTCATATTCTGGTGGGGGTTGCCTTGCATTAGGACAAAGTTGTCAGCTTTCAGTAGACACGTTTAAGCAGCATTACTTCTGTTTGCCATGCAGTGCATGGAGCATTAGTCGTTGCTGAATCAGAATATAAAAGCATGAAAGCCTTCAGTTGAGAAACAAAGTAATGTCTAGCATTTGCCTAAGTGGAATAATGGCTTACTAGTAATTAGGTGCTCATTTTAAGTATGCCAGATAACTTGCAGAAACAGTAAAAGTTAAGGTGTTATTTGGATTGAGCAATGTAAGAGCTGGAATTACTTTGCTTAATGTTTCATCAGCACTTAGGATTAGTATTTATTCATTAATACAGAGGGTGGTAATTATTGAAGGTGATCTCTTTCATGTTTCATGCAATTTAGAGGAGATCATGGATTTTTGTGTTTGTTGTCACCTAAATTATAGTAGTGATCTTGCAACAGAAATAAGTTTTCTGTGGGCCTCCTGATCCTTTGTTGTTAGAATGAAGTTAATGATGACCTTCCAGCAAGAAACATGTTAAAGATGGCAGCCCAGTGACCTTGACTTTGCAGCCTGTCACTCTTACCTGTACTTATTAATATACATCCTTACAGAACTCTTACTTAACCAAAAACTGTCTGGTTAAGATTTGAAATTGATATACCCACTTGATGAAAACAATTTTGAAAATCCCATGTTTAGTTAAAACCAGGAAAATTATTCTATAGTTTTTTTATTAGGATAGAGGGAGAGTAATTAAAAATAGCTTTGTTGTAATAAAATGCTTTTCTTGGCAGTAAATAGAGTGCAAAATTGTTTTTCTGAAAGCCTCTAAATCTTTAATATGTTTGTTATGGAGTGGGTGGTGCTTCACTTGATTTCAAGTATTCTTACAGTATCAGAGCACACTCTTCGAGTGCAATACACTAGCTGTCCATAATGCTTAAAATGTTATTTTTTTTTTTTTTAAATACCATTAAAGTTACAAGAACATGAGGTCACAGTATCCACAGTTTTATCTTCTGACTGAAGATACAAGGACTTCCCCCCCATTTGATACACGCCTGTGGAGGATTCTTGAACTGTTGTTATAAACAGCGCTTTAGTTCGTTGTACAAGCAGAGAGAAGTGGGTTGCTCCCTTAAAAAACAAAAGAACCCTTACAAAAATGAAAACAAAAAATCCCCAACACAGCTTAGTTGTCTAGATGCAGTCAGAATTGATGTGGAAGGACTACTGTGCATCTAGAGTTCTCACCTTGAAAATGAAATCTTCTGATTGATCCAGGGTTTGCTACATGCACCCAGAAGTTCTCTCATAACACAGAGAAAAAAAGAAAAAAGAAAAAAGTGTTGTGAGAAACTTAAAAGAATTGTGATTCTGACTCTCCTGGCCATGCTGGCCATAGGTTTTTGGTAATACCTTTCTAAAGCACTTAAGATTATCCATATTGGTGTCTTTAATGATAAGTCATTGAAATTTTAGCCTTGAACTATAAAGATAGCATTAGTATTTGAACCCTCTGCAGAGCCAGGGGTGCGCATGTATAGCGAGGAGTCTCCATAGGCATGAAATCAGCTTTACCCCAAGAAGAATGGGGGATAGAGATGTTTTTCCAAAGTAATTGTTTTCTATTTGGTTGTGCCTGGTATAGTACTAAGTATTAGTGCCTTAGTCATGTACCTGCTAAAAACATAGTGTTGTTTTGCTTGATTGCTGTCATGGTTTTCAGATTCTATAGATTGTCATTAAGTAAAAATTGAGTTATTTATTTTTTTCAATTTTTTTCTCAGGTTTACCGAAAATGCAAGTTATTCGGAACTACAATGGAATCCCACAGCCAGCAGCACAAGATGGGCCACCCTTGCATATCCAGATTGGTGACACTATTGAGCTCATTAGAGGAGATGCACACAGCTTATTTTGGCAGGTACTGTATCATTTAGCAAATGGCTATATTCTGTACGTCCAGATATCAACTTCTTACTGATATATTGCTCTCCTAACTTTTTTTCTTTTTGAACAACAACGTAGTTCTTTGTGGTTTATCCAAATAAATGTCTAATACAACTAATTTTGCTTTTAAGTTGCCAGTAGTTCCTATATAGTGTAAATCTTCAGTCTTGCAACCTAAAAGTAAAAGTCCCGCTGAATAAATCTGCAGGAACATGACATAGGTGGCAATCCTATTATAAGAGTTAAGGAGAGTGTTTGGCACAAAAAGCAAAGTTTTGAATTTTCGGTGTCTGGGTCTCTAACACAACATAAGTAAAAGCTGTGTTGACAAAACCCAGTTAGTGAAAATTAGAAAATTAGATTTATAGGGGAGAGAAATAGCTCTGTAGAACCTAAACTACTTGATGCTGGCTCAAGTCAGTTAAGGATAGGGATTTTGTATATACATGGGAAAAGTATATTCTATTGATGGCAAAATTTGCTGTCACGTGATTCACATCACTATTTTTGTTACTAAAATTTCTTCTTAAATGAGAACTATAAACATTGAAAATGCTGACTTGCATTCACTTAAATGGTAAATGCATTAAAGTATGTCTCATTTTTCTTGATTGCTTTCTTAATTGTTTGTATTATTGCATACATGGAAATAGAACTAAATAGAAGAACTAGGAGATTAATAGAAAACAAGTGGAAAATATTTATCTTCTTGAATTGTTGTTCCTGTGTTGTTCTTCTTGGTTTTGTTTTGGTTTTTTTTAAGCTATAATAAGATAATGAATATAATATAAAAACTGTCTGGTCTATTTCATGAGTTAAGTCATACATTCTCTTGTGCCTTTTGTTTTTCTGGATACAGTTAGGATGGTATCTTCTCCAAACTCTTCAGGACTGGATCAGTGAACTCTTCCTATGTCACTGTATCATCCTGAACATTTAATGGGGGGAAGTAAAAAACAAGAGAATTACTTTATCTATTGAAAAAATATATAAATAGGTGTAACCAGACCACCTTACCCCCTCCCAAAAAACCCTCCAAACCTAAAAAACAAACCCACTCCCCTCCAAAACCCCTCAACCTGTTTCTTAGTCAACAGTTACCTGTTACTTAGCAGACTATGGATATTTTGCATCACTACAAATAAATCTTTTCAAATGACAGAGTTTGGCCTGTGTAGTTTTGTATGTAGGACTTGGTTCTGCAAGGTCTAGAGTTCTGATCTGGAGAAGCATTTAAACCTGCTCATGACTTAGGGCTGGCTAGAAGGTAATCATCTGACTAATACAATTAGTACAAGCCAAAATTACTGCTACCGTGTGGGACTGATTCTATTGCCGTGTTCATACACATCTGTCAACTCAATTTACTGGAAATTGTCTTAGAGGTTGTTTGTGATTATCATGCTAAAGAATTTAGCTAGAATCTCATTGTGTTTAACTAGCAGAAACCAGAAAGTGTGTGAGGCTTTTCCCTAGAAGCCTTAGTAATAGATTTGAATCCTAATGGAAATTGTCATCTCCATTAGCATCATTCAGGAATTTTTTCTTTCTCTCTTGTCACAGACTGCTTAATACAGATTTTTCTGGGTCTTTTAATGACATCTTCATTTCAAAATGCATATTAAGAAAGAGCCTGCAAAATGCAATTTACATTAAAATCTTTAACTATTCAAGAGGCCTTTTAGGGTAAATTACAGCTGACCCACCAGACTAATATTACAATGGTTTTCTAAGTTGACCATTTAGAAATTCAAGTAATTGTAATAGAGAAGTATGTCTGGTTTAGGTAAAACTTTTTCATTCTTTACAACACATCAAAAGAATAATACAAGTTACTAAGCAGTGCTTGAGCTGTAGCTGAAGTGTGGTCAAACATGTCTTGATAGACATTAGTATGTTTTGTTCAGCGGTTGGTCTAATTGAGTGTAGTACCACTTGCTATTCAGGTATGATTAGTATTGAAAATAAGTATCATTGGATGGCAGACTGTTTCACAGCTCTGCTTAAAATTAGGTCTACTTGAGAGGGATTTGTTTCAGAAGTAAATAGAATATATTGATACAAAGCGTAACCTGTATTCAAGCAGATGATGTGAAAGGGGGTAAGGAAGCTTTGAGGAACACAGGTTCAAATCTTTAAGATTGTCAATTGTTTGCGCATAATTATTTTTTTAAATATTACTGGTATTAAGCACTTTTAGCTTAAATACTGCCTATGTACTTTTCCCTCTCCTCTGCTGCCTCTGCATATCTCTGTATTTTTGGTTAAGGTGGTAGCTGCTGTGTGTGATAAATTGCATAGTGATCTATGGAGAATGACGCACTCACTTGTTGTGCTTAGGATAGCACCAATCAAAGAATGTTTTTATTTTTTCATAAACCCTTGTTATTGTTTACATTCAGCTCTACTCTATTGAATTTTCTGAGTTCTGGTCTCTGTGGTGGTATTAGGGTAGAATTACACTTTTAGTGTTACAGAAACAGAACTGAAGAAATTTCATGCATGTTTATAAGAAGTTTTCCCTTTTTATTATTTTTGTTTTGCAGGTATACCATAAAAAATAAAAAAAATGCTTGTAAAGTTCTCATGCCTAATCTCATTTTCAGATGCTGGGAGTATTTTTACAGTCAATATATTACATTTAATGAAGGTTAAGTATTTACGTGCTTTTAAACTAACAGTTAAATTAAAACATTTGTTTGCCTAAATACACATTTTGATGCCTTCATTTTATGAATCTTTGTTCAGGAATTTAGGTATGTGCTCTGTTCTACTCTGAAATGTGTGTTCACTGCCTAATATTACTAAGAATAAAAAGATGTTTTTAAGGTGTTCTTCAGGAGAACTTGGTTGGTGTTGAACTGTGTGTGAGCTGCTGATGCATGATTTGTGATGGTCAAGTCACGTTTGGTGCTTAGAAGCTGGAGTTTAAATTGGTGGTCATGCCACTTTGAGTGAGCAGCAGTTGTGTTGCAGAAAGGGCTCAGTTTAGGCTGTGCTGGATGCATTTCTGCCCCTGGTTTCCCAGTTGTGTGGCTGCATCTACAGCATGTCAGTATGTCATAGTCAGAGAGTCAGCTTCAATTCTGTTAGTATTCCCCTGCCCCATTGATTTCCATTGGTGTGCATCACTTATGGAAATGGTTAATGTAGTGTCTGAATTGGCTGTTGGATCACTAGCTCTGAATTCCCACTCCAGTTTGGTCTCTCAGGTGTAGTCATTTTGGGGATCTGCAAGGTTGCAGGGTGGTAGCTTTCTGTAGAATGCCAGCTGAGGAAGTAACTTGAAAGGGGATAATTAACATTAATGAAGATATCAGACACTGACAAACATTGACAGAACTGGGAATCACATCCCAGTCTCTGAACTCCCTTCTTGCCTCTCATCTCTCAGAACTTTCAGATCTATCACTTATAATGTTTACTTAATTATATTAAAACCCCAGCTAAACAACATCAAAACCCACAAAAATATTGAGCAGTACTTTATTAGAACAGCATTTTATTTTAAAGACTCTTGGATATATTTATTGTCGTAAATCCCTGGCTGTATATTATTATTTACTGTTAACCCAATTATGTCTCAAAAATGGAATTTTTTTTTTTAGGGAAGAAATCTAACAACAGGAGAGCTTGGATTCTTCCCTAGTGATGCAGTAAAACCTAGCCCATGTGTAAGTACAATTATTTAGTTCTGTTTGCCACCTTACAGGAAACTGCCTAGATAAATCTTACCTTAAAAATGATATTGTTTTTAGTTCCTTGGTGCTTTCATGGTGAGTTCAGTATTGCTTAAAGGAGAGTGTTCTAATACTTTTGGTTATTGGAGGTAAGTAGGACATGTCAAGAAAAGTTTGATAAGCAGGTTGAACTTTTTAATAAAATTTATTCATAAATTGAACTGTCTGAAGAGTTTCCAGAGTGTAGATCAAATACATTTTATGTGCAAGTGCACTTTCTTCCTTCCCCAGCAGGAAGGTAAGGGTGCTGTGGCTATTCCCCAGTCCCTTGGGTTAGAGAGATGGATTACAGCCTAAGTATAAGTTTAAAAATTATAAAACTAATATATAACTTTGAATTCTTACGATTCATAAAGTTTCTTTTTTCTTTAGGTTCTTACCTGTCTTTTTTCACACAAAAATCTTCTCAACCTAGAAAAGTTTGTGAAAGTAATTTTATAATAAGTACTCAAGAGTTCTATGTACAGATGTGATGATGCATTAATATACTATATACGTGTTCCTTCTCTACCCTCTGTAACACTGTGCGTCAGATTACTGGCTTTGTTGAGGTTAGTTGATAAAAACCCATAAACCCAGTAAGGAATCCTATTCCTTACTTTGCTTTAAGGCTGTTATCACTTAATTTAATCTGATTCTCAACAGTTTGACTTATTAGAAGAATTGTTTTTGTTACAGCAATCAAGATATGCCACTACAATGACTTTAATAAGTAGGTGGAATCAGCTCTTAGTAGCTGCATTTTGATATGTCTTTGGGGCTTATTGTGCCATAATTTCAGAACAAGTATACATGAGATCCTAAAGATCCTAAATACCATAAGACATCTTTAATACCCTGTATTACCAGGATTTCACTTGAAGAGGAATGCACAGACTATTTGTAGGTACAAGTTGTGTTATATTGAGTGAGAGAACAAATCTGAAATAAAGATGAAATTGTGTGAATTTAGCTTTCATCCCTCCACCCTTTTCTTATTGTTAAATTTCCCACCTCTTGCTTATTGTTCAAGGGTGGATTTCCTATTCCATGGTGTCACTGTCAGTGACCCCATCAGTCATTGTGTAGTGTCATTGACTGCAACTGTAGCAGCATTTTTAGGAATCACCAATATACTTTAAAAGCACTGACAGTGAAATAGCTGAAGTTAGGAAAAATGCTGCTGGGGTGTTGTGGACGTCTTTTTCTAATGGTAAAGCTTTATTCTAAATTTAAAATACACTATTTACAGGAGTATTGAAAATAACACAGTTTTGCAGAATGAATAAATACTATTCATGAAATGTTACCAACTGGTGTCATGATCAGAACAAAAAGATAAATAGATGCTTCAGCACTGTTAACTTGGAAGGATGAAATAGAAACATCTTATTATGATAAATGATGCAGTTAAAGATACTGAAACATCAATTGGGTTTTAAACATGCTATAACTTTTACTGTTATTATTAAGTCTAACAGTCTTTACAACCATCTGATATAAAAATGCCCAGAAACAGCATAAAATCCATATATCAGAAGACTTTAGGAATGAATATTGAATGAAAAACTGCTGAGCTCCAGAATATCTATATTCCAGACTTTTCACAGATGTACCTATAAACAATTTTTCCCCTTTAAAATAAGTAGTATATGTCAGCAGACATTTTATGCACTATATGAGTAATATCTGTTTTTTCCTAGCTTTCCTCCATTTTTCTAATTTCTGTAGAGGCATTGGATACATAGCACAGTATGAGCCAAGAGCTTCTGGAGTAACATTTGATTTTATCCTTCTTTATGCCGGTGAACAACTCTTGTTATATAAATATATTTGTCCATTCAAAATTTACAAAAGCAACTGAACATCTATCATTTAACTGCTCTGGAGGATGAACTTAAACCATCTTTGATTTTTTTATATCCTTTCCAGTTTATTAGCACTACTCGACAAATTCAAAATATTTGATAATGTCTTGCAACATGTGAAAACTGTAATTTTTGAAATTGTGGCCTTGAAATGCATCTTTTTGTTGATTCACTAAAACATTTCTCTTAGGAATTGTTTGTCACCATATTCATAATTGGTTAACCTTTTGCCAAGTTTCCCCATTGGAAGCAGAGCTGCCTAACACCATCAGCACCTGCAGGGATGTTAAAAGCCAGTACTGCTGCCAGGGTGACTCCTGGCTCTCTTAGGTGCCCTGCACTCCTGAGGGGTTCACATGCTGCCAGCACTGCAGATGCTGCTGGCAAAAGAGCCCTTTGTCTACACTATTTGGGAATAATGCATGTTTCCTTTTTCTCTCTCAAGGACTAGTCTGTTTAATACCTGTTTAGATTTACTACTGCGCAAGCCAGACATGTGAGCCTGGTTTTATCACAGAGAAGAACTTCAATGTGTTCCACATTGAAGTTTATTTCAAGGTCAAGTCTAGAGACTTGATAGAGATCTTGGTTGATAACTGAGGTCAAGATAGTAAGAGTTACAATTGATTAAAATTTCAATCAATTTAAGTTTATAGGCTTTTATAATAATATTTTCCTGACTTGATTTGTTTCTGGAAGTCTCTTTTGGTGACATTCCATAGATCATGAATAAAAATTGTGAGAAGAATGGTACTGTAATTTCTTCCTTATTAGAGTCCAGAAAATAAAACATTCATTTGTTTTACTTGAAGGAAAAAAAAACCAAAACGTGTTTGCTTACCTAAGAATATGTGACCTTAAGTTATAAGTGTGTGAGGTTTATGTTAACCTTTCACTAAAATCCATTTTTCAGCACTGTGCATTTCACACATTTAGAAGAGTGGGGTAATACTGACTTATCACACACTAATGGGAGATGATCAAGATGAAATGCTAATTTTCATAGGAATTTCTATACTGTGCATTTTGTGCATGAATAAACATTATCTATGCAAATGTTTGTGTACATATAATACCCGTTTTGCAAGCTGATTGCAGTTTGCTTAATTTTTAAATTTAATTTCAGAATCAAATGACATGCTTAGTAAGATACAGTACAACAGTTACCCAAGTCAAATACAAAGGAATGAATGATGCCATATGATACAAGTTGTGGAGTATTGTCAGGTCTCTCTGAAGATTATAGACCATATTTCTCAGTAGACTAAGGCCACGCAGTCCTGAATACATGAAACAAATTTTACACATTACTGTAAATTGGTTGCATATTTTAGTGATACTTTTCTGCAATACAGAACATTGAGCTATTTTATGTATGAAATTTGAATATGAGCAATGTTAGAAAAGCATTGAACATTTCTGTGAAGTAAAAATACCCAAAACAAACTGTCACAGAAGAAAAGAGCTTAAAATATTCTGTACCTTTTTCAGAATTATATGGAATTTGTCCTTTATTATAACTTCCTTTAAAGAAAATAGACCTGTAGACAAATTAGATCATCTCAGTATTGATAGTTAGATCAATATAATTTCTGCTTTTTAGAAAAAAAATCTTGATCCTCATTCTTGGCATCTTTTGATATCCTAGGTTCCTAAGCCAGTAGACTACTCTTCACAGCTGTGGTAAGTCTCTGTCTTGTCTTACAAGAATCTTTGAAAGAAGCAGTCACAGAAAGTAACTGTGTTTACTACAATTTAAATTATAGTGGTTTAACCTTTCTAGGCTTCAGAAGACATTGTGTAATGGTTTTGGAAAGCAATACCATGTGTTGCCTAAAAGCATTTCTGATCTAATAAAGTGCTTAAGGATTTTGATGTTTTGTTTACAAGTCTGTGGCAGTACAGCCTTTGTCCCAGATGTCTGAAATAGAGCAATAAGAGATGATTATAATATGAAGCATGGAAGTATATCTGTTGACTGAATAAAGAAAGGAATAATGTTAAATACATCTTGTATCATGAGTAATTCTGCATTTCCTTGAAAACCCCCACCAGCACTGAAACTGTAGAGATACAAGTTGCACCTGGGGATGTGGTTTTGGATGTCTATGGTGGTGCAAGGTTGTTGGTTGGACTAGATGAATCTTGAAGGTCCCTTCTAACCTTGATGACTCTGAAAAAGATGGTGTATCAAAACTGCAACCACTGCTGCTCTGGGGTTTATGAAGTGTGTGAACTCATTCCCACAACTCTGAAAAGACATGGTGATTCTGAGAGAGCAGAGTAGGCATCACTTGTGTTATTTCACTGGTTTTATGCTTTGTCATTTAGACATGAGTTCTGACTTCCTCTTAACTTGCCAAAAGTGAAATTAGGATCACATCTAAACAAGTACTGACTTTCCATAGTTCAAGTAAAATGTTTATTATTTAAAATTGGTCTTTTGAATTAATTTCTAACATTTGGTCTATTTATAATTTTGTTAGAAGAAAGCATCATACTAGTATTAGTCTTTATCTTCTATGGATTTTTAATAAATAATAATTTTTTTACTTAAAGCACCGTTCTAATTGGTTGTGATGTATTGGTGTGAAATTTAACATAGTGGTGGTCTGTAGTGGTGACACATTTGTAAAATGATAAGCATAATTTCCCTGGAAACTAGGTCACTTTGCAATTAACAGTTTAACCTCTGTTTTTGCAATTGAATGTCTGCTGACAGCCTCTCATCATGTCCTGTGCAAACCACAAGGCAGAGCAAGGGCACAAATCTGCTTATGCAGCCAGGCTGCAGAATCAGTGATTTATTTATCTTAGCTTTCAACACTTAGCATCAGCTTTTTCAAATTTGAATGATTTTGGCTGATTTATCTTTTTTTTCCTCTGGATATTGGATATACCCATTGCACTTTAGCCTTTAGAGGTTATGCATAGTTACAAAACCAAATAAAATACTGTTTTGTGTAAGTAGCAAATTTTCATATAGGTCTTTTGTTGACCTGATCTCTGTCTGGAGGCTGATTCTCCATTCTGTTGCAATAAATCTTCCTAGAACTGACGGAGATTCAAAGGTTCTAGACCATTTTGTTGTATTGTTTCACTTGAAGCAAATGATTCAGATAAACCAGTTGGTTTTATGAACTTTTCAAGCCAGTAGTCATTCAGGTAATGCTTGGGCTTGAGTGCTTTTCTTAGCAGATATTGTATTCACCAAGCCATAACAGTGCTTTTCTAATTACGAATTCCACAACCCCCAACCATAGAATTTTTTCATGTTTTATTCTACATTCAGAAATCTGGAAGTGGCATTCAGTTGCAATGGATGTATTTTTGTGCTCTGTGATATGTAGAATATTTTCACTCTATTGCATATGTAATAGACCTTTGGAGCTTTGGAAAAAATCACAGGAAGTTTTTATTTTCCTTATTACAGGTTTGCAGGAGCAATGGAACGATTGCAAGCAGAAAGTGAACTAATCAACAGAGTAAATAGCACTTACCTGGTGCGGCACAGGACCAAAGAATCAGGAGAATATGCAATTAGTATTAAGTAAGTGGAAGTGAAATAAGAACTCCTCAAGAAAGTTCACCTGTTCCCATTTTTTCTAGATAGTATTTGAAATAAATACAGAAAATAAACCGCTATTTCCATTATAGAATTTCAATATATAATTATGTAGTATATAATTATAATTTATATAATATATACATATATATTATATAATAATAATTATATAAATGATGGAATCATATAAATGCATATTATATATGCAGCCTTTAAGAGAGTCAATATAGGAAAACTGAAGTTGCCGTCAAAAAATACCCAGGATTTAGAGACGGAAAGAAGCAATGGCTTTATAATGTTGAAGTAGCAAATTTGGGGCACAGAAATAATGGTGGAGTATGTTGGAGAAGAGTAAGCATTGTTTACAGTACAGTGTGATCTGTTTCATTGACTTTGGAGAAAACTCAGAGCCCTTTGCATCCCAGACTCAGTAAAATGTGGGTTTATACATTTTGTGCATATTATTGTTTGTGTTCATGTTGTTTATCAATATGAATATAAAAGTGGGATGTACATGGGAATTCCCAGTTAGAATAAGCAGTTAGCTGTGATTTTTTTCCTGATTACAGATCACTTCTTTAGCTGTACTTTAATAAATATGTTTGGTAGATTAGATGTCAACTTTATTTTGGCACAGATATACATTTTGTCTTAAGAATTTATGTGTGTGGTGTTCTAGGGGAATGCCCTCAGGTAATTATTGATTGTGTCTGATTAAAAACACATTTATATTCATAAGTTATTCATTGCCCACAGGTACAATAACGAAGTGAAACACATCAAGATTTTAACAAGAGATGGCTTTTTCCACATTGCAGAAAACAGAAAATTTAAAAATTTAATGGTAAGCATTGATTAGCTTTTTAACATTGTGAGATTTTCTTTGTAGTTGTTTCTGTTAGAAAGAGCTACTTTGGTTTGTGAAATTCCACAAAGCTATGAGAGTGAAAGATTTGAATTGTGTCCACACCTGCTAATAGGATAATTTTTTATATTTATGGTTTTAGCTCTAAGTGATAATTTTATGTGCTTAAAATGACATATTTATTGATAGGACTGGACTGTGTCCCTTGTAGTGAAGTGGAAGAGAGGAGGAATTTGAATCCCATGCATCAGACTACTATGGAGTTAGGCTGAATCTGGAAAGGAATTTGATGTCTTTGGAAGTCTTGGTTTTTAGGAATCAGTTGGTTTAAAATTTATGCACCAGCCTTCCTGCATGCATACTCAAGTATGTGAAAATACTAAATAAAAATGAAGGATAATACAAAACAAGAGCAGGGAGAAGCTTTAAAACCAGGAAGTCTTAGAAATTATTTTAGTTTAACCACTGATACGCCGTAAAACAAGAGCATCCTAGAAGAGGGGAGAGATGAAATGATAATCTGTAAGTGCTCATTAGAACAGGAAAAGCAAATTTCTTGATGAAGAATGCACAAAACTATTTTTGTGCTCTTACCTTCATTTCACACTTCTAAGCAAATGATTTGTTTAGTTTTAGGGCTGGGGACCCTGAGATCTTTTCATTGTTTAGCAGCAGAAATCATGGTTTTGCTTACATACAAGAGAAGGCAGCTGCTTAGTCTGTGAACACTACAAATGATTTGTTGGAAACTGATCTTGGTGAAATATGGCAGCTGGAGTCCCATGCTGCCAGGTGTCTTCTTATGGCAGTGAAGCAGTTTAATGCACTGGTGCAGGTTCCAAAGTAGAGCAGAAATGAAATATAAATAAAGGACAAAGTTGGATGAAAAATGAGCAAAAAGAATATGCATTGAATTGAGAGGACAGAAGAAATTTCTAGTATAAGGACCTCACTGCTACCAACTTAGCCTTGCTAACGTTCAAGTAGGAAAGAATTATTTTATAACACAGATTTAGGGTACTATGAATTCTGTCCTTGAGAGTTAAATACACAGGTGATAGTGTGGTGTTTGTATGTGCTGTGGAACAACTGCTTTGTTCTGGATAAATGCAAGAGGAAAAAGTAACAGTGTCTGAAAGAAAAGAGGAACAAAAGTAGTCTTAGTAGAAGTGGGAGCAGAAGAGAGACAAAGGCAGCATCCATGGAAACGTTAAGTAGTGATCTGCAGTGGCACAGCATTTTGTATTGCTTTGGAAGGAAAAAAAGCAGAAGACCTTGTGTCTACTTTTCATAGTACATTTGAAAACTTTCACCAGAATAATTAAAATGTGCTGAGTGTGTAAAGCAGGGTGCAGTGAGAGGGCAGTTCAGCTGCTGCTGTGGATCAGGGTAATATGACAGGCTCCTGAGGAGCCCCATCCATGCTGGCACAGACTGCTTACCTTACTCATCTGTTTGTAAGCTTGCTACTGTGATTTGTGTAATTCATGTTTTAGAGGCCAGTTGTCAGTCAACTGTTTTCATGGAAGAATGGAATTAAAACCTGAGCTTTAAAAGTAACTGAATCTGTGACATGAAGTGATTTTTTTCTTTTTCGTCAGTTTAAAACCATTTTACTTATTTTGCCAACAAACGGCATCTGCCCATTTGGAATTCCAATTACTTTTACCAAACAACATAATTCTTACAGACTTAAACTGTACAAAAAGATAACAGAAGTTTCATACTAATTATTTTCCATTTATCCAGATATCCTAATTTGAATGCTACTTACTTGAAAATCACACAGAGTATTGCCTTGGTAATTTGAATGTCTGGATATACAGAGATGATATGGGAGTAAATTTCATTGCTGACATGCTAATTTGTATGATGTGCTGATATGAAACAGCAAAGCTCAAAGAGTTCTTAGTATCACTGATGTAGGTTATTATAGGCTAAACATTTTGGTAGCTTTTTGTGGTGCTGGTTTGTTTTGGTTTGTTTTCTTTTGTTTCCTTTGGTTTGTTTTCTTTTTTTTTTGTTTTTTTTGCGGGGGTTTTTTTTTTTTTGAAGGAAAGGATTAAACACAGTATGATTTCCTAATTTTGACCTAAGCTTGGCTTAGTCATTTCTGATTTTGGAAATCTAAATATAAGTGGAATGGACTGAAGGGTTTACACTAAATACATTGCTTTGGGCATGCATTTCTGAAGAGTGAAATCTCACATTTGAATGGATCAATTGAAGTTTGACATTTGCTTTGAATTGTCTGGTCACTTTTAATCTTATTTGAGCTCTGTGTACAAATTATGTGTTACATTTCTAGGGCTAATTCAAATGTAACAGACAATGGCAGGGGTTGAAGATTGCAAAGGAATAGCATGAGCTGTCAGAATTTTGATGGCTGTTGCCTTCTTTAGAGTAGGAATTTGAGTAACTTGTCTTCTTGGTTACTTAAACTATTTCAGCTATTCTTTTATATTTACATATATGAATTTTTGCATATATATATGTAAAATATTCCTGTGTATAGATATAAATGCTTACATAAATGAACATACACAGAGATGGTGAAATTTTTGGATTGAATACAAGGAGAATGTGAAATGCTGATTTTTTCAGTGAGTGTGCACTGACACCCCCCAAGCCTGCCCTGCCTTGGAAGTTCTACGTTGTCTGAGTATCTGCACATTAAGTTGCTGTTAACTTACAAGCCACGTGCTTTATTTCAGATCTGTGTACTTCCGAATACATTTGTAGATAAACATAATTTATCATTGCAAAAGATATTTGATAAAACAGAGACATTTATGGCTTCATCCTTAGCAAGCAGCTGACCTTGTCTTCTGCCTGACTCCAGAAGAGCAAAGACATCCTCAGCCTGACTTAAAGGTGCAGCAAATGTTGATTCTGACAAAAAGATTCTACTTAGCTGATTTTGGGGTATATTTTTTGTTTGTTTTGTTTAAATTTTTTAAGTGGCAATATGAAAAGCTGTCAATTTTTAGGGTACTTTATAGTTTAAAAAATAAGCATGTTCAATGGGATGTGTTATAAAATAAGGTTACTTGCATAATGAAACTGTCATTGGCTGTACACCAGAATGCTGCTGTGATTTAAATTTCCAATGAAATGGTTTTTCCTTTCTGAAAGGAACTCGTAGAATACTACAAGCACCATTCTCTCAAAGAAGGTTTTCGAAGTTTGGATACTACGCTTCAGTTTCCATACAAAGAATCTGAAAACTCAGTGGGACAGAGGAGTAACAGAACAGGTGGCAATGGTGAGGATTATAAATTTTTGTATATATATGTGTATGTATTATACATGTATATCTTAAGAGGACAAGGTACTTGGAGCATCTTCATCTTCCATTTTTGACATATAACCAATTACTATGGCAATGCTTTTAGCTAGGATTTTTTGAAGCTAAGCAGATTCAGATCTGCCAGGAGATTTATAAACATGTCTAGCAAGCTTGTCTTGCTGCCAAACTTAAAATCTCCCCAATATTCAAGAAGTCTATTAGACATGCTGGTGAGAGATTAAACTGCATCTTGCCTAGTTTCTTAAGAAATTTGCATACGTGCAGCTATAAGTGTTAATAGCTGTGACAATTCCTAATCCTTAAAAAAGGAATTTAAATAAATCAGTCTTATAGCATAGCCCTATGAAGTAGCATCTCAGTAATACCAAATAATTGTGTAAAAAAAAAAAATTAGATTTACTGTATCATAATTCTTTATATGAATGTTTTTTAACATTGAATGTTTATTAGAGTTCCCTTAGTAAGCTTCTGAAAGTTAATGAACTACTGTGAAATGTAAATAGCACAGTTAAAAAGTTAAAATGTTGTGAAGTTTAGAAATAAACTGAGAAGGCTTGCTATGCATATGCTGTTCTTTATTTAAGCTGTTACATTTAAGTGGAAGTTAGCACAATTCTTAGGATATGGGCAGGTTCAATGTTAATGATAAAACCTACCACATGGCTGGCCTCTGGAAAATATATAATGTTTCCGTCAAAGAGCAAATATTAGATTTGCTGTTTTGCAGTCATTGGCTGCATCTTTGTACTGTAACAGATAATAAGAGGAAAATAAAAATTAATGGGGATTTTAACAATATGAAGACTGCTGTAAAAGCCCAAAAAGTCCATTCTAGTCTTTCTGATGATGATGGCTTTGTTACTTTCATTTGCTATGTTTGTGAGCTTTTGTTTACTTGCTTGCCTCTGTTCTATAACATTTCTGTAACTTTGGAGGCTTTCCTCCTCTCCTAATTAAAGTGAAGATAATTTAGGGCAAATGATTGTAAGAAACCAGTGTGTCTCTGGGAATTTCATTTACTGCCTCTACCTCCCAATTCATCTTTCCATTTCTGTTCTTCTCTCATGCTTCCCAGGACTTCTGTCACTTGTCTCCTCTCTGTACTGTTCATGTCCATTCCTGGTGAATTTCTCTGCCCTGTCCTTTCCTCTCCCTTTAGCTTGTGGTTTCCCTGTGTTCTCTCTTCCTCTTGCCATCTCTTGTGCTTTCCTCATCCCTTGTCTCTGCACAGTGCTGAGGCTTTAATTGTTGAGAGGACATGTCCTGCTTTACAGGATACAAGGTTTATGGTGCATCCTCATTAACTTCAGTCATCATACAAAAAAAAAGTCTTATTTTACAAGTTCTTTTAGGCAGTATGTTGGACAGCAAGAGAAATGACTGGGGGATGCTCTCATTTTAGTCAAGGGGTTGAGAAAGTACATCTCTGCTACAGTAACTCAGCCCTTTGATGCTACAAACTGTCCTGCTGGAAGCTGCAGGCTTTGTCTTAGACTGAACTGCTCTGAAAAACCTTTCAATTCCCAAACTCCTCATGTAAAATCGAATAGATTTCCATAATTCTGCTGGTTTATCTAGATTGACTCTAAATGACACTTCCTTTAATGGATTGGACAGTAAATTGTGTCCCCATGAATGTGGTGATTTATTTGTTGGTCTTTTACTCGTTTGTTTTGTTTTGTTTGTTTAACCAAAGTAGCCATGATTAACAGTCCATCTATGGGTCACTGCTTGGTTTTCAAGCTGTGTTGTTCATTTTACCGAGCTGATGTAAGTAAGAAAAGCCATATATCTAGGCTGTGTGAACCCTGCTGGGCTGAATTTAGAACCTGGGAAACTTCAGGCTGCAGTGTGGTTTAGTAGTGGAAGCAAATAAGTCACATGGGGCAGCAGTTAGACAGGGAGTTTACTCACAGCCCTCAGTGAGGACCACCACACAGCCGAATTTTTGATCTCTTCCCACATAATCCAAGTGCAAGAAGAGCAGTTGGTGGAAGAAAGCCAGACAAAGTAGCTGAAGAGACAGAAGGGCACTTCCCCATATTTTTTCAATTTTGCAATTGCTCAGCACGGGGCAGAATCCGGTGAATGCAATGGGCTTTGACGGTCTGAAGCTGTTTTAAAGAAGGATTTAGGTTTAATGCAGTGTTTTTCTCTATACTATTCACATATCTGGATATTTTAATGAAGCCATCTTTAGAAAAGACATCAGCTTTTTTTTCAAAACAGCTGATCTTTTGGATATACAAGTGACAGAATAAGTGGCAGAAGTATTTCTAAAAAACGTAAGTTGAACCAGTGCAGACTTTGACAGAGTTTTGTCATTTTCTGCTGCCAAGGTCTTTGAGCTGTGGAGAAATTGAGTGGCAATACTGAATTGACTTGACTTCCTAGAAAAGAGTGAGAAAGAAGTATATTAATTTTTTTCTTTTGCTATTTGCTATGTTGTCATTTACCCACATGGGAAAAGAAAAACTGGTATTTAGTTTAGCTTGTAATTTCTAATAATAATAATAAGTCATCTTGTAACTTGAATTTTCAGGGAATTTGATTCTTGCTTCAGCATCTGGCATTGATTTTTAGAATAAAAATCTCTACATTAGTGGGATAGATATTTTGCCTTTCCACTTGAGTTAGAATTTTGATTTTCAGTCTCCTTGTCTTGCAGATGTCACTGCTGTTGTTCTCATATTCATTGTACACTTTTAATGTGGTTGTAAAAGCTGTCAGATATTTACCTTTGTCAGTATAGATAGTCAAGTTAACTGGGAATTTGTTTTTGGGAAATGGTATATTCTCTTTTCTTAATTTTTCAGCCTTGGGCATTTATAGACACACACAGTATGATCAAATTTTGATCTCCTGCACAGAAAAACACAAATTCTTACATTAGATTACAGGAATGATTAACCAGTTAATGAAACAGAGGCAAAAAGGGAAGAAAAGTGGACATGATTCTCTGGAGTAAAATAATGGCACTTTATTCTGTTTTGCTGATGCAGAGCACAATCATACTGAGAAATTTGAATCTTTATGAAATTTAGATTTTAAAGTAACATAAATCATGAAGCCAAGTCCTACTTGAGTGATGTTTTTCTTTGTTGGTTAACTAGGAGTAAATTATTTACTAGTTATGACATCCTTACTTATTCTTAATACATTAACTGTGTAAAGGTGTCTGTTAGTAAAGTAAAACAAAACAAATATCAACCCTTAGGGTTCCGCCTTTCTTCTTAGAAGCCAACACCAACACCATATCATCAAAACAGATCAGTTATCTGTAGAAATCTAGTAGAATTTCCTTGCCCACATAGGTTTACTTGTCCAGAATTTGACACAGAAAACCAAATCTCCAGCTATATCAGAGAGAAAAATCAGGAAAAGTCTGCTCAGTTGAGGACCAGCCACCTCCCATATAGCACCTAACCTGGGTGTGTTCCTGTAGGCTGTTGTTCCACTCTGCCCATTGAGCTTCTGGAGAAAAAAAGACAGGTATTTTTCTATAAGAATGGGCACTGCTTGTACTGCTTTTGAGTCAAGTGGCCCTTTTGGTTTGTGTAGCACAATTCCCCACAGAGCTGTCGCTTGGGGTTACTGTCTGCGGTATAAAGGAGCCCCTCATGCATCCCAGATAGTCCATTCAGTGTTAGAGGTGGAGAAAGCATCATAACTGTGAAGGATCAGAAGAAAGTTTCCACAGTGAAAGAGGTCCTGGAGCATGGTTTTCTTGTCCTATGAGACACTAACCTAAAATGCTGTTGGTTTGTGTTGTGGGATTTTTAAAAAAAATTTCTAAACCCAAGGTTTATGAATGCTAAAATAAAGTATCAGTCCTCCTTATTTTATTTATGCTTGTAGTTTCCTCATCACAAATGTATCTATTGTCATCCAGGTAAGATGCACAAAACTGTACCATTACCTCCACCATGGATTCGTGCATAAAATCGTTCTAGTCATCATTCCTGCAAGTACCATTTTGAAGCAAAATTACTGTGTTTCATGTGCAATCAGAAGAATAAATTCAGAGAAGTAGCTGTAAGTGATAAATAGCAGTTCCCTGCTACTTTTTGAAGGAAAATTCTTTCTCATTAATTACAGATATTATAAGCTATAAATTTAGAGGCCGCAGTATCATTTATCCAGTTGAGATGGATGTACCTTTCCAAATCACAACTAGGAGCAAAGATCCCAACTTTCTTAGATATGCACACTATATATCTTTATTGCCTCTTCAAAAGAGGGACAAAATGTGAGAACAGGTCAATAAGCTGTAGTTCCATTTGAAGCAATTCTAGTTAATTTTATCTAATTTTTGCATTTAAAAGTACATTGCCCCTAGCTTTGTTGATAACAGAGCAAAACCACCTGTGGCTTTCACCCAGTGAAGCTGCTATAGGGGTTTAGGATGATGTGCTGATTCTGCCTAGGCTGAGCTTAGGCATTTTTTGCTTGCTCAAGGGGTTTTTTGCAAGTTGGGGAAACTGCAAATATGAGCATTACTGTTTGGGCCTTAGAGGATGTAGTTTAGCTGTGGAATTCTTATTGATGTTAATGATTAACAGAGCAGAATGCATACTTTTTTTCCATGCCATAAATATGGAGTTGACTCCAGGTCAACTTTGACTATATCCTAATTAAAGGCATGTGAATAGTGTTGCTGGGCTCAAGAGGATTTATGTATGCATGAGTTCTTGCTTTTGTAATGGTAAGAAGTGGGACACACAAAGAATTAAAAAAACTTTTGTTAAATCTGAAAATATTTGCCAGAGGCTGCAGTTACAATTCTCTGAAACTCTAAATGGGTGACTTCTTCCTACTTTACTCTTTGAAAAATGCAATTGTTCAAAATGAAATCATAGATCCAAATTTTCTAGTTATTACAGTCAATTTCCTTGCAGACATCCTTAGTAGAGAACCTTAGTTTCCTTATTATCAATGAATTATATAGTTTAAAAACTATTATTTAAGTCTTATGCCAATATTTCAATGTTCTTTTGCTTTTCTCTTTTTCTCTTTTTTTTCCTCTAAGCCCCTTCTTTGTTCTGTGGGTTTTCTTTTGTAACTCCTCCAGACTACAGCTTTGTTCCCCCTTCCTCCACTCCTTTCTGGTCAGGTACTGCTTTTCTGCTTTTATATTTCTTCTAAATTTGCTTCTATTGTTTCTGTGTGCAACAAGTGAGGGAAGGGACGAATCTAATACTTCAGCTCTTCTCTGACTCCAAAAACTGAGTTATCACTTGTTATTCTTGGAGTGTAACAAAATCAAACTCTTAAACTTTTGAATTATCACTGCTTATTGCAATAAGCAGTTTGAATAGGTGTTGCAAAGTTCAGTAGTTGCAGCAGATTCCGTCAGTGATCACTTGACTCTTAATTTTCTATGCAGTTGACACCTATGAGCTATATATTTTTAATGCATTTGTTCAAATGCACAAACATGGAAATCCCACAGAATCTCATGGAAATACCACTTCTTGTTGGTAAATAATATATTCGTCCCATCCCTGCAGCAAACCATACTGCAGTAACATCTTAGAATATAGTAGGTTTTTTTTTAGAGAATGCTTTCTTTAAATTCTGCATTAACATTGTTAATTAATTTTCCCCATCTGTTTTCTAAATATTGTTTTCTTTATTTCCATTTAACCACCTCTGTCTTCAATAGATGCAATCATTTCAGATTAAGAGGCTGCATAAAAATGTTAAAAGTAGTACCATTGGTAGCCTCAGTCAGTGCATCAGTATGGGTATGGCTTGCTCTGATCTCTAAGATCTGGTCTGCAAAGAGGTGAACTGCACCACTGGACAGTTTAAGAAGAATTTTGCCAGTAGAAAGGTGAATGCCTTTGAGGAGCACATGGAAGGAGCTGCTGATGTGGAGAATGCAGCATTTGCTCACATTACACTGGCCTGCCTTTGTGTACCAGGTGGAGGACACTGCCTGGGTTGTGCAGAGCAGGATTGGGGCTGGCATTTGCACTAGGGAAGGGAGGTGTCCAGCATGCACAAATGCAGATGGAGTCATCAGGGTCTCAGTGGGAAGTATGTTTTACACCCGCCCACAGAAGTTGTCCAAATTATTTAGTGCTCTGAGAAGGATTCTTGGGGCTTTCCATAGTTTCCTGAGTGTCGCTAAAGGACACACAGTGGTTCACACAACCACTCTCAGCATCAGAACAAAAACCCATCCCTCTGTTCTCTGACTCCGCTATTTATAGATGCTCAACAATGACCAGGGATTGGATAATTAAGTTACCACCTTCCCAAGCACACTGGTCATGAGAAATGTCCATCAAAAGACATTTCTTAGAAGGAATGGGATAAACAACTTATGTGTATAGAACTTTCATGAGAAAGTAACTAAAACTATGAAAACATTATCTGAAGGCTTAATTTTCAGGGTGACACCTGAGGGGAAAAGGATGTAGGTGGCAGCTCAGTAGTAGAATGTTTACTGTGCTTACTTGTTCTGAGAACATCTCTGATGACCCCTCTCTTGATTCACCCCAGGCATTTCAATCTCCATGTCGTAGATCACACTTGGATGTTTTTCCCCTCAGTTTTTTCTTCCATTTCTATGCCCTTACATACAGATATTTTTGGGCCAGATACTTCCTTTCAGTAGTCACAGCAGTGTCTGAGAATCCAGGCTAGAAGGTGCCCTTCCAGCTGACATTTGCTTTCATAAAAGGACACATCTGTAGAAAAGATGATAGCCATTTTGGTGTAGCTGTTTGCCCTGTGGTCAGACAGGGAGCTGGACTCCCTGAAACACTCATCTGATTTGAAACAACATGAAAGAGTTAAGTTTTAGCTCTTTGCTCATGGTAAATACTGTGAGCTTTTATCCTTTTGGGCAGGAGAGGACATCTCGGATTCAGCTGTCCAGTACTTGACTGTAAATTCTATTCTTACTGAAACTGTTCCATGAGAACAAAATTGTGAAGTGGTCTGTGGTGATAGAACAGCAATCAAGACTCACTTACTTTAACCCTATCACACATTCCCATATATTCCCATATATGGTTTCAACAAATTCTAATGACATTCCCTTTTTTCTTATGAAAAACTGCTGTATCAGAAAATTCATTAATAACTATAATGATAGGTATAAATTCAATGTCTGGCATTGAATGTTTAAGTATTTCGTTACACAAGTACAAAATATTAAAGGAAAATATTGATCTGCAGTTCTTAATTAAGTTTATCTACCTGTTATATTCTGAGTGCATTGCTTCATATGTTTGTAGTAAACTTTCTTTTTAAAAATAACCCACTAATTTGCCTACATTAAAAGACCAAATACTTATTTCATGATATTACAAGTATTTTTTGCAAAAGTATCTTCAGAGCTGGCTTAGTTCTGCTGATATGGTAGCTGGTAATACAGGAGAAGGTGAAGCTGACTGCTAAGCACTACTGAAGGTTCTGCCTGTGCCACAGCACTGAGGTTTAGTGAAACAGTAAATGTACAAGTAAATTTGGCTTCAGGGAGCATGGAAACTAATACACAGGAGCAGCCCTCAGGGCAATGGCTGCAGATTTATGAGGAGGCCAGAGCACAAGGAGAGAGAAACAACTGCTCACAGCTTTAATAATACTACATTGACCTCCATGGAATTCAAGCATGTGAGCTATACCAGCCTACTGTGATCAAGGGAACCTTTCTTGTTTGCACCTCAAATACATCATCAGTGCCTCAAATTAGTATTAAAATTCATTTGCAGCACATCTATTTCACTGTCAATGTCCAACATACTCCAGTGTAAATCAAAGCTGATTATAGTTCCTGTAGTCATCATCTTCTGTTTGCAGAAGGAAAGGCTGGATTAAGTAAAAGCATATTTTTCTCATTCACGCATGTGCTTTTTATTCACCTCCATTGGATTTCTCGCTCTAATTTCAGTTAGTTCTCTGCTTGGAGAACCTAAAAAAAATTTATTACTGCTTTCTCAGCAGCTTATTTTCTTTTTTAGTGCTTTCACTCCCCTCCCTCTTTAATTTCTCATTCATATTCATTCACCTGTTGGGCCCTTTCTTTCCATCCATCTCTGCTGTTAATCACATTGTCTCTCTGCAGCCTTCCTGTACCTTATCCTCTTTCTGCCCTTCACTCAGTGCTCCTTTTCTCTCCCATCTGTACAGGTGTCCTTTCCATGTGTTGTCTTCCCTCAAGTTTTATTTATCCTGGGACAGCATTAATTGGGAATTCAGGGCCTATAGTCTCCACTCTAGTTGTTTCTGTTACTATGTCAGCAGAGAGATATGGTTAATATTTTTTTCCAAAATTAGCACTGTCATTTTCCTGTATTCCATCATTCATCTGGCTTCCTTTTATATATTTCCTATCATGGGCTTCACTTTTATTTGAAAATATGGATCTTGGATTCTAAATTAATCTAAATTCTGCTACTTTCTGCCTCAAGACTTTTGAAGATATATGGTTTTGATTTCACTTGCTTCTTTCTCCTTTTCCTCTCTGATTTGTGACTTGAAAAAGAGTTAAAAGTCCTCCTTTCCCCCGTATGTGTTTCTCTTTCTTCTCTATCCTAATTTTCCTTGCTATTTCCATCTTTATAATTCCGCTATGCATTTCTTCCCTTCTTAGTTCTTTTTTTCCCCATTTTCCCAGATTTGTTCATCTTTGCTTCCTGTAATTTTTCCTTGCCCCTTTATCTTCTTTCTAGAATCTGAAATTATACCCTGCTCCCCAGAATCACTCCTTGCATCCTGCAGTGCTTCTCCAAATCTGCCAGTGATATTGCTACACACCTGTGAATGGTTACTGACCCTCCAATAATTGCTCTTACTTTTTCCTTTCTCCAAAACAATTGCTGCCCATGATAAGCTCTTTCCCTGTAAAATTGATTACTGCAATGCTGATAAGGTATAGGACATTACATTCTTGTCAGGATCTAAACAAGTAGCATCTACATCTGACGGGCTAAGAGGGGAAAAAAAGCATGTTTGATGTGCTTAATATATCACCTAGATTTTTGCAACATCAATATAAGCAATAAATTGAGAGGCTGATTTTCTTTTATATGGCATCTTTTACATAATTTATCAAGTGTCTGATGAGCATACTCTACATAAACAGTTAGGAGTGTTGGACTAAACTTTAGTGACATGATATAAACTATGGCATTATCTGTTGTCAAAACTGTTTTTTAGGCATTCTATTTCTGTGATATATCTAATAATATTTTAAATGTAGTATTCCTTGTTGGTTAAAAATAAATTGTTTGTTTTCTCTTTAAGCTGAAAGTATTTGAACATATAATGATTTTCAGATATTTAATACTATTATGTATATGATCCAGTGGAGTCAGAAGAAAACTTAAACACAAGCAGAACTGAAACTGTGAAGATTTCTCAGCTCATTTGCTGTGTTTTGGGTTCCTGATTTAAATTAAAGGCAACAAGATATGAATTCTTAGTGTTACACTGTTGAGGGCATTGCTAAACTAGAATATTAAAGACATTTCCTAATGAATAGTGGGTGTTTCTAAGAAATGTGAAAGGCTTCTGAAGATAGACATGATTCTGTGTACATTATATCAAGTCATCCATCATGATCATATGAATTACTCTGAAATCCTTTCAAAGGAAGCTTGCCTGTGCTTCTGAACTCCTCCTACAGTGATTTACATAGGAAAACAGTGGCATAAATGGGGAAAAAAAGCTGAAAATTGCATCAGCCAAATAGTCCAACCGCAAAATGCAGCTGAGTAGATGTTCTTTCTAAAATGCTCAAGTCAAAGGTTTTTTGTCTGTTATGCCATGCCCACTCTCCTCTCATTGTCCTCATACAGGAATTGTTGAGGAGCTCTTTTGCAAGTTTGGACATCCTTCATCAGCATTGAAATCATAATTTCCCATAAAACTATTTGCAAGAAAGGGTTAGTTTTTGAAGTGAGGCCTTTTGCACTTTTGCTTTTTAAAAATTCTTCACAGCTTTTTATTGTTTAAAATGTCTGGGCTTTACATTGGCAAAATTATTCTATGTTGATGTAACCTAAAATTTTAAAGTGTTAATTTTACTAAACCTTAATTTTATAGAAAGAAATCATTGATGATTTACAGAATAAACTCCTGAAAAGACTGTTTACATCAGTCAATATTAATGCAGATTGTGACAAATGATCCGTGGAAATTTCTTGTATAAAGTCTGTACCTTTTTCCTCATGCTGATGTTAGCTTCCAGTTTTATGTGCTTTAATATTTAACTTGGGAGTTGTTTTTTGAAAGAACAGCACCTTATTCTGTTTGTTTTGCTTCATTAGAGGTCTAAAGTTAAATCAAATGTAAATGCTAATAATTCTTTTGGAAAGAAATTAGTGACCTGTAAAATATGTTGATGCATATAACTGGCAGCAAGTTTTATTATGAAGCACAATAATAAAGTAATTGCAAATGTATTTAGCATCTCAGGGTTGCGAATATTTTATTTATGGCTCATATGGTTTGATTTCTCTTCTAAAAATAAAGAGGACTGTTCAAAAAATCATGAAAAATCCCTTGAACTTTTACACTGTTCACCTATATTTAAATCTTCTTGATCTTTGTAGTGCAGATGTTTTGCATAAAATGAATGCCAGTGTATGTTGCTGTGGAATCCTTGTTTTATACTTTACAGTATTTCTATTTACAGTAGTTTGGTAGCCTTCATTTAACCAATCCTAATAATATCACCATCTGCTTCCTTTCAGTGCTGAGCCCGAAGGTGATAGGCATTGCCATAGCCAGGTATGACTTCTGTGCACGAGACATGCGAGAACTGTCCTTACTGAAAGGGGATGTTGTCAAAATTTACACCAAGATGAGTGCCAATGGCTGGTGGAGAGGTGAAGTAAATGGAAGGGTAAGACGATTTTTTTTTTCCTTTCCTGTGTTTCTTTCTCTTCACTGACAGTGATTTCTGTTAAAAAGAAAAAAGTGTGTTCCTACATTGTGTATTTAAATTCACAAGATGGAACATGTTCTCATCTTTGTTTCATAGGAGCGAGGTAGAACTTTGCCAGGTAGTTTTCCCAGCATCTAAATTACTGGTTATTTAATGTGACCTACCAGGCTGAATATTTGGGCAAGGTTATATGGTTGGAAAATAACCAGGATTAATAGCACTGCTACAGTTGACCTTTCTTGAACTGTTTTGCACACAGATATTTGGGGTCAGGTTCCTGGTGCTGTGGCACTCTTTTTAGCACTTAAACCACAGAATGATTTCCCACGTCTTTTGCCAGACTACAATGTGATGGAATCAATCATTTTTTTGTAGAAGGCTGCTTCTTTGATCTCTACCAATGTGGCCCAGATGAAGTGACATATTTAGCAGGGATTTTTATGAACTCACTTTACACTCTGTTCTGAGACTTGGAAGCGAAGTTTCAGTTTTGACCTATAAAAGGTTTACTGTTTCAGTCTTAGTTAACTGCCTTTTAATGCAGATTAGTCAGAAGCATTTGAGACTGCTGTTTCCATGTCTAAAGTGCTGAGATGCAGGGTCAAGGAATGTGAGGTGGAAGAATGTAAATTGTCTGGAAGTGGGAAATGATAGTTGCAAGTGCAGTTAAAGTGAATGTCCAGACTTACTGCTTTATGCAATGTGGAGAACCTTTTTTATTGTGTACATGAGCTTGGTTATGTTAAATGGTTAAAGCTTATTAAATTAAAAAATTAGACCAGAAGAAGTAGGGAAGCAGAAGAAATACCCATCGTGCTATATACATTTTAGAAGTGAAGAAGGCTGAACAACTCACTGTAATGCAGCTGTCCATTCTAAAGGATGCCCTGTTACATGCTAGCATTCCTTGGTAACTTTCATAGCCTGGATTTGACATTATAAACTCACCCCTGGAGATATTTTGGCAAGAGATAGTCTAAAAATTTCTGCAGTCACCCCTTCTAGTCATGCTGTAGGTTTGGTTTTGAGTTCTTGCATGAATGTTATATCGACTTTTAGGTATAAAGAAGTCTGAAGAAACCTAAAGCAAATACATAAAATAAGAAATACATGACATTGCATCACTGTGTGTCTTACATAAACTTTATTTGACACATCATTAATTTCAGAATGTATATAAGTTTATAACTTCAGAAGTGTAGGACACTAGACTCTGCTATCTAATTGCATCATGTGTAACACTTGGTGGAATTCAACTCCATGTAAAGCAATCAAATCATTCAGTGTTTCCTTTTCAAGAGGATTCACTGGACCTGACTAGAGCCTGTTAAAAGTTTAAGTCCTCATTCAAAAAATAGTAATGTCCTGCCTGTAGTAAAACTACTTCCACTCTTGTCATTTTTCTGAACTTTTAGACTTCCAATCTGGGCAAAGGTGTTTTAGATTTTTTTGGGGCAGGAAGTAGGTGTTGGTGATTTAAATATAGGTGACAGGGTGTTGGTCTCTAAATTGTCATATCTGTAAGTTGTTATTTTCTTAAGGGTACTTAACATGGCTGTGTCAGGTCAGCCAAGTTTATATCTTTATGTTAATAAGATTAATATATTTACTGAACAGACCCATTATTGTTGTGCCTAGCTCAGCCATTTAAAAAAAAACAACCCTGTGCATCTCATGTATTATTTTGTTCTGCTTTTTCCCTTTTTAGGTGGGCTGGTTTCCATCAACTTATGTTGAAGAGGATGAATGAATTAAAAACTATCCTCTGCCTACCAGAAGTTTCAGGGATTGTAAAAATTTGTATCTTCAATGTATAATTGGTCTTGTTAAGTATTTAAAAAGCAACATTTTTGCCTGTCTGAACCTTCCAGTCTTAATGTTGGGGTTTATACAGAAGTTTGGGCTGACAGATTAGTACCTTATCCAGAGCTGTGCAAGAAACAAGCTGCCAGTTTGCCTTCACTGGGGACCAGTACAAAGTCCAACCTCACCTTCCCAGAAGATCTCTGGAAAACAAAATTCTTTGTTCCTTTTCATTTCACCCTGAACTACACCATGAGTATGAGAAATGGCTGAAAATTTAACATTTCTCTTCTAGCTAACATCTGTGATGATACAAGGAGATGAAGGCTTATTATTCCTTATCACTGCATGCAGGAAACAGATTTCAATCATTCCAGTGGCCATAAAGAACAGTCAGTAGACTTGTCTTGAGACATCAAACTACTTCACTTATCAACTTACAAACCATTTTACACTCACAAAAATATTCTGAAGGATGTAGTAAATATGAGTAGCATTCATGCATATGTAACTATTTAACTGGCTACTTTGAAGTCCTGCCTAAATCTTCTAACAGTCTGTTTAAAGACAATCTAAAAAGGTGTAGTGATGTGGTATTGCTTTAAAAAAACATTGACAAAGTGGAATTGTGTGATCCTCTTATTGTCATCTAAAGCCTTTTTATGCAAGGTTTTTTCATTTAAGCATCTGACAATAAAAGTGCTGGGGGAGATAGTCCTGACAAGATGAGTTGAAAGTTTTTGGCAATAGCATTAAATAAATATTGCAGACTTATTCTGAATGAGAAAATACTAATGCAAGATTATGTAATTTCTCATGAACAAAAGTGTTTAACTCTTTTATTGATTTGGATGAACTTGGATTTTTCATGTTGCTTGGGATGTTAATGGCAGTTCAGTGAGGGAGTTGTTGCAGTATTCTCAACATCCCCAAATGTGTCTAGGTTAGGCAGCATGAAAGATCAGGCCTTGTAAAGTGGTGTCCACTGCTTGATGAAGCAGTGTTTAATGTAATTATGGAGAGGCAGAAATGTAGTTATAAGCTAAAATAAATGTGGGTGATGTCTTCAGATGTGCAGTTTTAAATATTTACGTAATGTCACAGCTGGCTTGAAAACTTGAAAGAAAATCAAGCTCTTAAATGAAGTCAATTCATCCTGTCCCACATCCTCTTTTGCTTTTGCCTGTCTTCTTTTTGTGTTGGCATATTAGAATTTGTGTGCACTGACACTGCACGATTTAACACGGCAGTGTTTTCCCAGTCTGCAAGCAACATAATCTCCACTGTTTGCCCACAAAGCAGAATCTGCTAGTACATATTTGGATTTCTCTTTGGCTGTCCCCAGGATTCTTTGCTTTTTTCTGGCCTTTCCTGGCCATCAAGAAGAATCAAGCACAACACAGAGACTTCACAAAATCTCCTTCATCTCTGCAACCTTCTTACCCAAATCTGCTACACCTGACAGGCAGTGTGTGTGACCAGGGGGATGAGAGGAGCTTCTCGTTAGAAACTTGACTCGAGAGATTCAGCCTTGCAGATGACATTCTGCCGATGCTCTAGCTTTTCAAGGATTTACCTCAAAATTATGTAAACTGTGATTGTGTTGAGTACATTACTTGATGGAATAATTGAGAGCATTTGTAAATATGTAGATGATGCATAAAAACTTTGTAAATTATGTGTACAGCAGTTTAGGCTAGAGTATGCAGTCTTTGATCATGTTTTGCCATGCAGTTTGATTGCCTATTGTGAGCTTAATCCTATGTTCCTTAAGTAGAAAGATGCTTCTTTCTCAATTTAATCCTATATTCCTTAAGTAGAAAGATGCTTCTTTCTCAATTGTGCCTGCTTAAGGGGTAGAGGAATAGGCTCTAGGTCTGTGAAGTGTTTAGTGCTTTATTGTCATATAGTTCTGAGAAGAGACAGTTAAATTCAGTACAAGTTGAAAAATATATCAGTCATTTTCAACAGCTTGGCTTTAGAATCATTTTGAGTGTTCTCTTCATCCTAAAAATGTTGTAAACCTTTAAGCAATTCTGGAGTCCAGTAGTCATCCTTTAAGAAGAATGAAAGCCATAGGTAAACCTTACTTTTGTGGCATAAATCTACATATCATTGTCTGTGTTTAATGCCCTGTATTGATTGAGTTAATGCTGCATCTTAAACTATATTTTGAGTACCAAAGAATTCCTAAATATTCTGGAGCATCTCTTTCATGTGCTGCTTTTGCCTGTATGGAGTTGTTTTGTCATGCAGTAATGGAGTTACAGTACTTTAATTTGTACTATTTTGTAAATATGTTAAATATAATAAACCAGTTAATTTTTTTGTTTAATGATGTGTCAAAATGTGTAATTTGCTGCTGTGAAAGTTGTGCTTCATTTGTATCAACACCTTCTCATTGTGAGAAGTTGATAATGGTTTGTTTTGGTCTCCAAGATTTACATAATCCTTATTTAGCTGTAAAACTGAACTGTGTTAGTGGAATACTATAGCTTTCCTTGAGAAATTTTTATTGTTGGGACAATAGGCCTTGTGCCACATCTAGGAAGGTGCTGAGGCTTTTTTGTCTTGTGATGTTGTGTTCAGGGGTTTTTTTGTTCTTTTTTTGTTTGTTTTAAAATTTATTATTATATTTTTAGCTATAGAAAATCAGTCATATATGATTGATTTTTGTCTGTCAAAGATGATACTTGTAGTTTTTTTGTTTGAAAATAAGTTGTGCCTAGAAAGTTTAATGTGTAACTTTTCACAGCAACATCTTTTCTCTTTTACCTTCTTTTTTCTTCCTCTCTCTTATGTGAATTAACATATAAATTCAGGCTCAAGTTGAGTTGAGCTCAAGTCTGAAAATACAGTCTGTATCTGATTTCATGGGCTACTTGATCACCTTTTTGTGATGTAGCCCATTCATGCATTTTTTACTGTGTAACATTCATTATTAATGTGTTTATAAAAATATTTCTGGACAGGTGAATTAATTCCGCAAAGACAGTGATGATTCAGTTGCAGTGTTGATTTTTTTTGTGTCCCTTTCATTTTTCAGTAACAGATTTTCTTGCAGAACTGCCCTTCTAACAGATAATTATTAAACCTAATGAGGCATTTACACATCTCTGCAGATGTAAGGCATAATTTTCCTGTCACCCATGAACGTATCGCATAACGAAGAGTCGCACCTAATGTCGGATGCAAAAATGTGTCCCAATTAAATGCTCTTGTTAACAGTATCACACTTGGTCACAGGCATTCTCCTTCCCCTTGTATGCGAGAAGAGATATGTCCTCTGATGGGTGAGAAATTGAGAAAGCACTGTAATTAGGGCATTAGAACCACTTGTGGCTGTGTTCTCAATAGTTTTTTTCCATTGCAAGGCTTTGAAGCTTGAAAATCTCAGCTGGAAAAAAATCTATCTTGACAATGAAAATTATGCCAACCATGATTCCTTTCCCCTTTGCCTCACAGGCAAGCTTGAGATGCTCTGTGAAGAAGAAGGTAAGGACAATTCTCAAGGTTTTAGCCATTTATAAAGGTGAGACCGAGGTACATCTAGGAAGAGGTGGTGCTTGTTTATACAAAATATCCAGCCTCAGACCCAGGTTTTGTTCTGTTGACTTCAATGTTCAGTTCAAAGATATTTGTTTCTATTCTTGTCTCCTTGCTGGAAACTGGGCTGCTGATAGCTTTACATTACTACTTTGTCTGATTCAAGTTGTTCTCTTCAGAGCACCACTTATTTCATTTGATTGACAGAGGAAGCTCTCCCTCCTCTCCATTTTATTGCTGAGCATGGTTTTATATGACAGGATATTTCTTTGGTTAGTTTGGGTCATCTACTTCTTTGTGTCCCCCAAATTTCTGTACACTGGGGTCGTGGCACAGAGTTAGAGAAAGCCTTGATGCAGTACAACTCTGCCCACCTACAGCTAAACCCTCAGTGTGTTGTCAGCACTGTTTTTGCTGCAGATGTAAAACACGAGGCTGTAGGAGCTGGGATGATGGCAGTCAGCACCACCTGGGGCACACCCAGTGCAGGCCTGAGGGGAGCTGCCAGGCAGGGATGCAGGGATGCTCTGTGTGTGTGTGTGTGTGTGTGTGTGTGTGTGTGTGTAATGCTCAGTCCTGTCTCAAGCTATACAAGAAGCAGGAGCTGTGAAACATGCTGGGGAATTTCGACTCTTTTCTCCATGTCCACTCTATTGAGAAGGGGTAGTTTTGAGTAATTAAGCTTCCTAAAGCTGTGAGATGAGATGTTAATCATACCCACTTTCTCACAGAATGCTGAAATGCATGATGCATATATAATTAGCAAAAAGAAATATAGGAAGGATTAAGCTTCAGAAATTGGCTGCAGAAGGGTGAATCATTGCATTATCTTAGCAACTTCCTTTTGAAGAAAAAAGAGACGTTTGTTTTTATAGCAAATGAAGTTTGGGTTTCTAATTTAGTTTTGTAATTCCTGATCTGCTGCAGTGTATTCTGCCCATTCATTATGAGGATCTCTGCTGCTTACATGACTGTGAAGTTAGGTTTTATTTAATAAGCCTCCTGGAATATTTCAGTTATCGGTGATTTTTTCTGGGTTCCAATTTTCTACCTGATAAATCTGCTTTTTGGAAAATATGTGAGTTCATTACAAAATGTTGCAGTCTGACCTTAAGTAAACTTAGAGGTGCAAAAAATGGGTTCAGAGGTAGCTGTTTACCAAGGGGCATCAGGCTGGTTTGCTTCTTTGAGAACTGACTTTTTTATATTGATAGTGCAATATGTGGCTTTGGGGAGAACAGAAATAGAGAAGACAGTAAAACAAGAAGTAAGAAGTTGATACCACACCATATGTGTTAGAAACAACCTGGTATGTGGCAACATTTCTAAATGATTGCCCAAAATATTATACGTCTTTTGATAGCATTGGATTGGAAACAGAAATTATTTTACATCACTGTGTGGGAAAACATTTGTTAGTGTTGTCCTAACCAAGGGCTCTTGCACGCAGTCCTGGTCTTACCAGGTAATTCTCTAAATAAATCTGTTTTCAATTAGTTGTCCTTTTTCCTTAAGCAATTGAAAGGTCTCAAGGAGATACAGTGTTATTTCTAGTATTACAATTCTTCCTTGTGCATAAAGCTAATGAAAACATGTATAATTGAAGAAACCTTTTCTCTGGTAGTTTTAGAATTAATGTCCTTATGGCCTGTAGCTATGAATAATGTGGAATGTACCAGCAGACCCCCACCCTACTCTGTTACCTGGGTATGTACAAAGATCTTTTCTACCTCTTCTCCCTCCCCCGTTACAAAGTTCAACTGAGGTGTGGTACAAGTCCCACAGGTATTTACACCACTTACATGGGGAGAAGAAAAACACAGGCAGATCATAAAAGCAGTCATGCCTGATTTTTGTTTTTGTAGCATTAATTTTTATTGTTTGGGAAAGGGCAAGATGGGACTTTTGTTAGCTTTTGTATCAACTGCTCTAGAGCAATTCCAGGTAGGAGATGCAATGGCAGTTTGGTATTTGACTTTGAGAAGAGAGATTTATGGTTTTTGCAGTTGTGTTTTAATATAAGCATATGCATTGGATCAGGTAAAGATGGAATTAGATGATGAAGAGGTCAGTTGATCTCCAAATGAGTATGGTAGGATATTGAAAATTAAACTGTAGAAATCTGAACAAAGTCTAGATTCAGATTTTAAGTCTTTGCAATTTTGATTCATTCTCATTTGGTTCATATTCTCCTGAATATGGGAGTCTGGGTTTAGTCTTCCTGCTACCAGAACTTGATTGCAACTCCTCAAATTTATACAGTACAACAGATGTACAAAACCTTTTTTATATCTCCTGGGACATGCTAGTAAACATTTTCTTTTATATATATATCTACAGGTATAAAAAAGATTGCTACAGAAAATATTTTACCACATTTTTTTCTCTTATGTGCTACACTGAAGAGCCACGTGGCTTTAGAAAAAGCAAGTTTCCAAAAGCAATTCCCAGCCTGCACATTCTTCCCTTTCAAGTCACTGATGGTCTCAGTGTGTCTCTAGAGAGTTAAGATACCATGCTCAGGGATTTCTTTTTCGAATGTTCCTGTCCTCCCCCAAAATTCTTGACAAATACTACTTCTTGGTGGTGTCTAGAATATATTTAAAGTATTTTGAGTGGGCTGGAGGATTGGATCACCCAAATACTGATAAACTAGTACTTTAGGAAAAGCATGCAATTAAATATCCATGAAGATTTATTTACAGGTGGAAATAATTGTCTGTACTTGTTAAGACTGAGCAACTTGTGGCTAAGCAGCAGTACTGCTGAAAAGTGTAAAAGTGAGCCATGGACAGAACAGAAGTTGACAGGATTTTACTGTGAAGAAGGTAAATACTGTCTTGATGGCTAATAAGGGGAACATCATCTATAAAATGGGAAGTTATCATTTACTTAAATTCTGCTATGACTCCAGCTTAAGTGCTTTGTCCAGCTTTGGTCACTAAGCCCTGTATAGGATACAGTCTCATTGAAAATATTCCTGAAGAGACTTAATAAATGTTAAGAAACTGGAATTATCTGAATGGAAGTACAGAACAGGCTAAGGGGGTGTGTCAGTAGCATCCAAATAACTAAAATGTTTTACATAGTTTGAGAGACTGAGCTCTTAGTTCAGTCCTAGTCAGTTCAATCAACTAGTACAGTTCCTAGTCAGGGTAAACTGACAGAAAAAACAATCTTGAACTGAAGAAAGAGGATTCAGTTTTTAGGAATCTTTTCTGAACAACAAGCTACATAGACACAATATTATCTGGGCAAGTTGTGGTATCTTCAGCCCTGGAGGTGTTTCAGATGTGGTTAGCTTAATGCCTGTCAGGGATAGTTTATGTGGAGTTAGAGATGCCCAAGATATGCATCACCTGTTCTTTGGAGCTCCTACAGTACTACCTTCCTGTAACTACCTTTCAGCTGTGCAGTGCTTCAGTCAGCTGCTGGTGTTTACCAAAATCTCGTGGAAATATTATACCAATGTGTAGAGGAAAAGGTAAATGAAAGGTAATAAGGTGAACAGCCATAGCTAGCAGGCAGAGTTTGAATGTTTATGAATTAAAACAGTTTCTTCAAGAGATGCAACTGGTTCATTATTAGCTCATAGTATAAAAACGTTGTAAAACCACAGTCTTTAAGACTTGCTTCACAGTGGGAGGCATGAGCTAAAGAGCATTATTGCAGTTCACAGGTTTATTTTTGGTAGAACATACTGTTGCTGCAACACATGTAGGTTTGTCAAAATCAAAACTTTTCTTAAATACTTATTGATTACAGGGAAAGTTAACAAGCAAAGCAGCT